TCTAAATATTCAAATAAAAATATAAAAATCTTAAAGGTCTTAGAAATGGGAAGCTCTGATATCATGTTAAGAATAAGAAACATAAGTGGGATTGAAAGTCCTATTTTCATTTATGTTCACTATGATGTAGGAGGTCTTTCATCAAAAGAAAATATCAAGTTCCTTTTAAGTTAGAACCTACTCTTCCAAACTCAAATCAAAGAAAAAATTTGTCCCCAAGGAAAAATTTGTCCCCAAGGTGTAAAATTGCTCAAGGGAAAGAACTTACTTTGCTAATATCTATAACGAATTGGTCAAAATTGGTGAGATCGTCGGGCAAAGGAGTGTGATTAGATAAAGAATCGGAGCGAAGTTAGAAAAGTTTGAGGATCTAACATTGAATATGAGTAGTCGATATGTGGCTTGGCACAACATGGACGTCTCGAGCCTAAATTTCTATTTACTCAGAGTCATTATTAATGTCTCATGCTCTTCTAAAATGCGGAAATATAACTTTTAAAAGAAAACATCATCTATAGTTTAAATGTCGAAAACATTTAAACCATCTTCTAACTTTGGAAAATACAGTCATGGTCTTACGTGTTTAAATACGAAATATTGAAATTTAGAGAAAATAAAAATAGATACAAAATAGTTTAAATCGATGAAATGAAAAACAATATGTTCTAACCTAAGACTAGGAATTTAAATATGAGTTTACCCTATGCACGTGTCACAGTCTCTGCTCGCAATGCCACCGTCATCCATACATGCGTCTTGCCTTTACCTAAAAAATGATGTGGCACACGACCGAAACATTTCGAAGAATACTCAGTAAATGACTCCATTATAGGGGGGTCATGCAAATGCAAACATATGCAATCATGCTCTAGGGACCTATCTCTATCTCATATTAGGGGTGGCCTCCAGTCTCGAACTACTATGGTTGTATAGTATTTCTCTACACACGACCCACACGTGCAAGTATGAATCCCCAGGGGGCTCGCACACCCCCTAGACCCTCTCTAGTCAAGCTACTCTGTTGTGACGTCCAGAGGTCAGCGGAACCCCTAGTGTCATGCTCTCCATGAACACCTTCATCATCACACTGTGTGCGTCCGCGTTTATCATCTCGAGGGGAAGTATCCCTATACTTATGAATATACAACATACATGAGGTCCCTCTAAATGATTAAAAAAAAATGAACTCAAACGGGTTAATTTTCTTGTTTCTTCTCTTACAAGTGTTCAAAAATTCTAAGCAGAGTAAAAAAACTTCATCTTACTTATTATTTGTGTGCTAACAAATTTTATCAAAGATCTCATTTTCTACCGCTAGTGTTTCGAGCGATTAATGTTGACATCAAAAGTGGCAGACAGTGAATAATTGTGAACTACTTTGTTATACGACTTTGATTCAACAATTTCCTAAATTGATAATAATTTAAGGTTTATTTGTCATAAACATTAAATAAAATAAAGACTTCACATATGTCTTTTCCTCTTCACTTTTCTAGAAAATGACTTCATGTGTGTTGCACATGCTACAACACTAATTCAAGAATGTTGGCCAAGTCATTAATTATTTTTGGTTTTTTATATCTTTAATTTTTCTTTTTGTTAAAACAAATATGGGTTTTTTTCGTAAATTTAAATATTTCTTATTCAATATTTATTTTTAAATAAATTACCTTTTCAAAATTAATAATGCACAAAATGTAATTATCAGATCTTATGTAATTGAAGGAACAATTATATATACTTTAAAATATATGCAGACAAATTCTGTAAAATACTTTTCTCTCGTAACATATATGGAGAAGTGCTCATGGTGTGATGCATGAATAACACGTAACATGTGATCTTACTTACGTGTTATATACCATGTATGGTAAGCATAAAAGAAATACCATGTCTTCTAGTATGTTGTGTAAAAACATGTGCAACACGATATTATTCATGCTTATTTCCTTTCCACTAGTTTTCGACAATGTGATCGTGTGCTAGCTTGTATTTAAACCTAGGGGTATGTTAACAAGTCCGTCTAGTGAGGTTATGAAATGCGTGTGTGAACCATGATCATCCAACCCTACTAAAAAAAAGTAATCCCAAAAAAAAGTCATGAAAATTAGATCTCTTTGGTTGTGATCATATTATATGTAGATGTATTTTTCGACACCAACAGTGGTGTCAGTGTCAGTGTCAGGACCTTATTTTTTAGGTTTGGAATCATGAATCTTGATGTAGACTGATATTAAATGTAGCAGCTCAAGCCCACAACCGGCCAATATTGTCCTCTCTTAACTTTCCCTTTCAGATTTCCACTCAAAGTTTTGAAAACATGTATGTTAGGGAGAGGTTTTCATACCCTTATAAAGAATGTTTCGTTCTACTCCCCGACCCATGTGGGATCTCACACTAAAAATACAATAAAATTTTGTACCATTTAAAAGTAAACAACATTTCGTTTTAAAAAAATTCAAAATCAATTATAAATCAAGTGTTATCTAAAAAATTATTACAAAATCGGACTACGGAACGAAATATAAAAACTCAAATGACACAACCCCTACACATAAAATTGGTGTCTTGGGACGACACTTATTTGTGATTATTGACAACCCTTCTACAGGAACCACCATAAACTTAAAAATTCTAATCGAATGACCCATGTGGCATCTAGCTACAGAGTTTGCTTGTATGGTCCCTTATTCCTTTTCTAGACAGATTTGTAGTAGAAGTCTTGTTTAGAAGAACTTTAGCTATTCCACACGATAATGTACATAATCGAATCAAAGTACGACGGTACTGGTCTTATATGCATACTACTTGACAGAGATGTTATTAAGTCTGACCTAGGTCACTAATAACACTAATGACGTACCAAAAAAGATAGGAGATGAAGACTCTGGTGATACCATTCATACTATTAGTAGACTTAGTAAACTTTCTTTGTCTTCTCTCGATATCTGGATGTAAACCAGATTCTTAGCATCTAAACCTTTTAAATATTAGACTATCATCTTAAGGACTCCCTAGACTAGTTTATCAAAGCTAATATGCTATTGACAATACTAGTACCTAAGCTTTTGATTGCTGCTCACCGAACTGTTTGGTCTACAAGAGGTATAGGTGATAGTAAAACCATTCTATTTCTAGCCAAACAGGGAGATAGCTCAACCAATGAGTACAGATCTCATTCTCAATACATAGTATCTAGCACAAAATAAATATCCCATACGTATAACATATAGATTAAAAATCTTATTCTATGGACATTTCAGACACTTTTAGACATCATACATAACATACCTAATATTTTGGCTCAATCTAATATCCTATACATTATTTTCTAGTTATATATGGAGTTAATGCTTGCATGCTAGTATATCTTGTGATCCGGTAGATAATGCCAAAAATTAATTTGTTAGAGAATATTGATGAGGTGGCAGTTAAGTTGACATCCTTAACCAATTAAATAGTGACAAGTGGAGGTTTAGAAGGGTGATATTTGGTAGGGTTTGGTTGTTTTTAAAATTAAAGAAAAGAAAATTAATTTTATATATTTATAACTGAAATATTTCTAAAAAAAATCATTACATACCACAGATCATACTTGATGGTAATTCTAAAAAATATATATATAATAAAAGAAATCTTTTCAAAATAATTTCATATATTATTATTATTATTTATTTATTTTAAAAAAATTAAAATTAAAATTTAAGACCACGAATTATTACTATTTAAAATTTAAATTTGTGACGTGTGTAGATTGAGTCTATATTTTTTGTGTTGTCATTTGTACCACCATCTATTTTGTACTATTTTCAATTTGAATTTGACTATGGTCCGTTTGTTGTTGTCTTGTCTTTTAATCATCAACTTGAGATTTGAAGTCCCGAAAATTGGGTCATAACAGTAATTCCACTAATAAGATCAGAAAAGGTAACCACATGTAACATGTTAAATAATTGGTGAGACTTACTTTTTTTGAATGTTACGTTAGCTCTACTTTTCTTTTCGAATAGGGTTGAATGCATAGTATTTCTCTATATATAGTTCACACGCACATGTGAATGAACTCTTTGGATGGGTTCATTAACATACTCCCTAGGCATGCTATGGGCTACCGTATGTTCATACCACTGAAAACCAAAAGAAAGGCAAGGAGCACGTATAATAATGTGGTGTATGCCTGAAAAGTAATTTACGTTCGATGACATATGTTTTTATAAATAATGATATAAATGATTTTTTTGAATGCATAGTACTTTCTACATGTAGTTCATGCACGAGCGCATTAGCCCACTAGGCGGGCTCGTGTTCATACCTCCTAAGTATGCTACAGCTAGCACACACTCAAATTACCAAAAGCCAACATAAAGAAAGGGGTGTGTATCATATCATAGTGTGTTCATACAAAAAAAAAAAAAAATTGGAAAGTATCTCATGCTCGTGACATACAATATGCATGCGATCCCACATTTTCAAATTATGATACAAGATTAAAATGCACATCTTATAGGGCATAACGAAAATATGGTATCATGACATAGTAGAAGTACATGTATCACATAATGTTTATAAACATCACATCATACAAATAATAACATGTAGACAAGTAGAAACGTTTGTGTTATTTATGCAACAAACAATTCATCAAGACCTAAAAAAAAGAAAAAAAAAACATTCCAACAGTAAAATCACAAGAATTTTTTTAACAGAAAAATCCAATTTGAATATTTTAAAATTACCGGAAGGAATATATAATTTCTCTGTGGTCCTTTTCATCATGTCATGAGGGAGTTAAAAAAATAAAAAATAAAAAATAAAAAAAGGAAAGAAAATTCTCATTGTAATGCCACGTGGATGAAATCTGGAGCCCCTACTTGACCCATCTCTGGCCCCCCACGTAAGGAAATGAAGTCTACGTCAGATATTGAATTAATAACTTTTTTAAAATTTTAAATTTTGTGGTACAAATTTATTAATAATATTAAATTGGACACCGAAAAGTGAACTCGACGTCGCTTCCTTTTTATCATTTTGTGTGGATCAGTCTCTTTGTCTGAGTGTTGAGAACACTTCCAATCATCAGAGACAAATCAAGATTCCGGTTGGTGGAATTTTTTTTTTTTTTTTTCAAAAAGATTTCTCTGGGAATTTGTTCAAGTTTTGAAAATAAATTGTTCAAACGTTTCATTAATTCTCATCCACTGCTTTAACTCGGCGTTGGAACTTTTGAATTTCAATCGTCTTGTTTTGTTTGATTGTTGTTCTTCTTCTTTCTCTTTCGTTTTTCGTGGAGATTTCTGATGGGTCTCTGCAACTCTAAACCGTCTCCGTCTCCGAATTCTGATCGGTTTTCTGAGAAATTTGGTTCAAGAACGCCCAATGGAGTGCCTAATTCGGCTCAGCGAAACTCTATCTCTTCCGTGGGAGGAGCTTCGCCGCTACCGCCTAGCTCTCAAAATGGCACGGGGAATCCGAGAACTGACACCCATGAGATGGAGAATGTGAAGAAATCGCCGTTTTTCCCTTTTTACAGTCCAAGTCCTGCTCATTACCTGTTTTCCAAGAAGTCTCCGGCGAATGCGAGTGCTAATTCCACTCCGAAGCGGTTTTTCAGGAAGCCGTTTCCGCCGCCGTCGCCAGCGAAGCATATTCGTGCGGTTCTAGCGCGGCGGCACGGCTCGGTGAAGCCAAACGAGGCGTCGATTCCGGAGGGGAGCGAAGCGGAAGGGATTACTGGTTTGGATAAGAATTTTGGGTTTTCGAAGCATGTTTCGAATAAATATGAGCTTGGAGAAGAGGTTGGGAGAGGGCATTTTGGCTACACTCGTGCAGCGAGGGTTAAGAAGGGCGAGCATAAGGGCCAACAAGTGGCTGTCAAAATCATTCCCAAATCTAAGGTAAAGACCTTCCTCATTTCAGCTTTGTGCTCTGCAACGATCTTTGATTTTGTTACAATATTGCTTTCTTTACACTCAAAATGGGAATTATTGTTTTTCAAGTTAACATGGATTTCTTGTTAATCTGCTTGTTCTAGAGATCTAGTTAACATGGAATATAGGAACTGGCTTGTGGATCTTGAGGCTTTCCTTTTATGTTCAAATATTTTGTATTGCTTCAATAAATTGTGTCCAACATATACTTAGTAGTTCCTTTGTTCTAAGATTCATTAATTTAGTTGATTTCAGCTAAGTCTTGAACCTTTGCTCTGGATTTAAACAATACTATGATATGCTTTTCGGGTCATTAATTTATTCTGGTTGCAACTTGTTCTATATTGATGTTGGTCTCCTTTTCGAATTGTTTACCACGTGTATTCTTGCTGGTAGATGACTACTGCAATTGCGATCGAGGATGTCAGACGGGAAGTGAAGATATTAAAATCATTGAGTGGTCACAACAATCTTGTAAATTTCTATGATGCATATGAGGATCATGACAACGTTTATATAGTAATGGAGTAAGTTTCTTCACTATCGTCTACCTTTGATGCTTATGGGAAGTTCTTTCTTGATTTTACGGTATCGATGAGTCTAATCATGGCTTGATTTTGATGGGTTATGCATTTTTCAGGTTGTGTGAAGGAGGAGAGCTCTTGGACAGAATTCTTTCAAGGTACTCTTATCTAATGCTATCTTGGACGTGTGCTACACGTCTTGCCTTTACTGCTATATCGGGAGTTACTCCACATATTGCTTGACGTAAAACAGATAGTGGATTTATTTCTGTATTTTGTTGAATCTTTTTCATGGCTCGATAGATAACTCGATAAGCCAATGGTTTTTTTCCTTTTCACTTCAAAAGCTTTGATAAACTTGGGATTAATTCTCTGATGTTCTCTTGACGTTTCTTTTACTATATTAGGGGCGGTAAATATACAGAGGAGGATGCAAGGACTGTAATGAAACAAATATTACATGTTGTAGCTTTTTGCCACCTTCAGGGTGTGGCTCACCGGGATCTCAAACCCGAGGTGCGTTATACACAAAGATAACTCTGCTTTGTGCGTTATATTTGGTCTAAATGATCTGTTGTGTTTGCTGCCACTTTATGAATTTTTGGCTAAGTGCAACTTATTGATGGATCAGAATTTCCTTTTCACTTCAAAAGATGAAGATTCGCTGTTGAAGGCTATAGATTTTGGATTGTCGGATTTTGTGAAACCAGGTTTTCCCTTAGTTCAGTTGGTATAGTTTGTTAGTAACCCCATGACTTGCAAAATAGTTGAATGTTCTTTTAACTTTTTTGGCAGATGAAAGGCTGAATGATATTGTCGGTAGTGCTTACTATGTAGCTCCAGAAGTGCTCCATAGATCATACAGTACTGAGGCAGATGTCTGGAGTATAGGTGTAATAGCATATATTCTTTTATGTGGCAGTCGCCCCTTTTGGGCTCGAACGGAGTCTGGCATCTTTAAAGCTGTTCTTAAAGCCGATCCAATCTTCGACGAGCCACCATGGCCTTCTCTGTCTTCTGAGGCAAAAGATTTTGTTAAACGCTTATTGGTTAAAGACCCACGAAAAAGGATTTCTGCTGCTCAAGCCTTGAGTACGTGCTTCATACCAATACTATTTTCTTCCTGTATTCATAATTCCCACTCTCATTTTTACACAGGTCATCCATGGTTAAAGACCCACTCTCATTTTTCTTCCTGCTTCATACACAGGTCATCCATGGATTAAAAATTATATAGATGTAAAACCTCCTCTTGATATCTTAATATTTAAACTCATGAAGACTTACATGCGGTCATCGTCTCTTCGAAAAGCTGCTTTAAGGGTTTGTTTTCTGTACATTTGTATGATTTCCTGTAAATCCACTGTTGTTTTCCCATTATTTTTCTTATTAACTATTCCTTTTTTCTTGGGGTAATATATGGTAGGCTGTTTCGAGAACGTTAACTATAGACGAACTATTCTATTTGAAGACGCAATTTTCACTCTTGGAACCGAGCAGAAATGGCACCATAAGCATAGAAAACCTCAAAGAGGTTATTTCCATCTGTTTTTCTCGTGTTTTTTTTCAACATGGTCTTGTGTTGATTGCTGTTTTACCTATCGTTAGGCTTTGATGAAAAACGTAACAAATGCTATGAAGGAGTCGAGGATCCCTGATTTATTGACATCGGTAATATTCTGAACTATATTTTGGAGTCATCTTCCTTTAAATTATCATTGCTTATGTTTTGCTTTGCTTTTGTGCAACAGCTAAATGCATTGCAATATAGGAGAATGGATTTTGAGGAGTTTTGTGCTGCTACGCTAAGTATCCATCAACTCGAGGCTCTTGATAGGTGGGAGCAACATGCACGGTGTGCTTATGATCTGTTCGAGAAAGACGGAAACAGAGCTATTGTTATAGAGGAACTGGCATCGGTATGTTTGATTTATTTGTGCTTATGATCTTTGCTTGTGATCAAACGTCAGTGCATCCACACACTTAAGAACTTAGTTATATCTTTTTGCATGAGCAATAAGGAAAACGTTAGATCTTGACTGTGGACATGGAATCCTCCCTGGGTTATTTAGATTTTCTTGTAGATAGAGGAAGTCTGTGAGTTCCCACCTCGGTTGGAGAAGGAAATGAAACATTCTTTACAAGAGTGCGTAGAAACCTCTTCTTAATAGACGCACTTTAAAACCGTAAGACTGACGACGATACATAATAGGTCAAAGCGAACAATATCTGCTAGCAGTGGGTTTGGGCCGTTACAAAGTCCAATTCCTAATATGTTGTCAGAAAGTTCGATTTATAAAATGCATGGAATTCTTGACATGGAAATCTTACCTACAGTTGGGTGAAGTTGCAAAACCCAGAAATGAACTCTAATCTCTGGTATTGTGGACATTTCAGGAACTTGGCCTCAGCCCTTCAGTACCTGTTCATGCCGTTCTTCACGATTGGATTAGACATACCGATGGAAAATTGAGCTTCCTCGGGTTTGTCAAACTGTTACACGGACCTTCTAGTCGAACTTTGGCCAAACCATTGTAAGCTTTATAACTCGAATGTTGAAGATTTGTCAAAAGTATTGAGTGTGATAATTGAATCAAATGGCTGAGTTGAGAAATAGTTCGATTTCCATTCAGCCCGAGTTGTGGATACTCGAAACAGGGACGATGATCCAGTGGAATGAAAATGCAGGTGTTGGAGTAGGAGTAGGAGTTATCTCACTGTATTTGTATAGGATTGAGTCAAAAGTGTTGTGTTGAAGTGCAAGTGAAGATAATCATCCAAGGTTTTGAGAGGGTGGCACTTGCATTTCCAGAGGTTTGAACTTCTGGATTGTAATTGTGAGGTTTCTTATGAGTGTCTTCATCTATTACACTGCTTTCTTTCTTCTTTCTTCTGTTGTTGGAAGCTGTTTCCTTTTATTAGCGTATTCATTTATAAGATCAAAATTGTTGTGTTTTTTAGGGAAGGGTGCAGATATGAAGTAGAGCTAAAGAATTGACCCACCGCTAACAAAATTGTTGTGTTCTTAATTGTTCATCTGTTTCATAATCAAAGGCCACAAGTGTTATGAAAAAGTATTTTAAAAGTTGTGATGTAGGCCCATAGTGCATGATCCAGGTTGAAAGACAAGTCTTTTCCATTTGCTATTTGGATGCACAACTTTTTCTAGGATTCCCTTAATTTCTCCGTTGGTGGCTTCAACTTGGCCATTTGTTTGTGGATGATAGGATGTGGATATCTTGTGTTTGACATTATATTTTGCGATCAAATTGTTCATCATTTTGTTGATAAAATGTGATCATTCATTATTGATGAGTACTCTAAGTGCGTTGTTCCTATCAATTTTGACCACATTTTTGGCATTGGACAAGCAATTTTCTCTACCCATTTTGATACAAATTCTATGATTATCAATATACAACTTTGCGGAAATTGGTCATAAAGTTTATTCTTCAGATATCAAAAAGTTCCACTTCTAAAATATAATCGACATGTATTTTGTTTCCTCGGCTAATGTTACTCTTCTTTGGCAATTATTACATCACTCTGTAGGATCTTTGCTTTAATGTCAAGGGTATGCCAAAAGAATTTCATTCATTTAGTCTTGAGCCTTCAAAATTGCTAGGTGCCACTCTAAGCTAACTAAGATTATTTATGGTATTTTATGATCACATGACCATGTTACCGTAGATGAATGAGATTTTTTGGGCCATCAATGGATAAGAATCATAGTGTTTTTTCAACTTGACTTATTACACGATCCATGGCCACGAAGATTCAACAAGCATTCATTCTTCATCTACAAAACTGAATAAGCTCGATTCAACCCGCACTTCATGTGCTATAAGTTAACTCAAAGGACCATTTGGAATTTTTGGAGGTCAAAATTTGTAAGGATGTTGGAGTAAATAACACTTATTGATAATTTCCTTGAAGATTTTATTTATTATTTAAATTTCATAACTTCATGTAATAGTCATTTAAAGGGTAGGGTATAGTTGCCAACTTGTCAATCATGATCATAAACGCATTTGAAGGGTAGTAGGAAAGGAGTGAATTCCATCGGGTGAAATTATGTTTCCAGCTCCTTATTTGGTCAAGTTCTCATAATAATAGACATTTAATTGACTATAAAAACCATTCTCACCTAAGCAAATAAAGGAACAAGCCCTCGTACGCAAGAGTTTATAACTCATTTAGAATTACGAGCAATTTGCATATAATCATCATGTAAAATATTAATTTCTTCTATTAACTGATTTATAAAGAGAGATTAAATATTTATACAAACTCATTATATAGAATACCTCTATTACCCAGACATAGACCATTTGGATCAAATAAATAAGTAAACAAAGAAATAAACAAATAAAAAAATTATTACGTTTAAAAAATAATAATAAAAAGAATAAATAAATAAATAAAAACAACCCTCCCCACTCCTCTCCACTAATCTCTCCTCAAACCAATTCTTAAGAAGAATCTTAGGTCACTCCAAAAATGAAACAAAAACATAAAAATGTCAGATTTGAGTAAACAAAGAAGCAGATTTAAGCTAAGAGAGATGACAAATAGAGGTATGGTTCTTTAAGGTATATATTAAATTTTTCTCTCCTTTTATCATAATTTCATTTTTAGGAAATCACATATTTTAGATTTCGTGAATTATTGCAATTATTTACCTTTATTAGGCAGGTGAAGTATTGTTATGTTTTACATGTTGTTGTCGTGACGGTTACTAATTCTAATGAGTGTCGGGCAAAAGTTGAGCTACCAGAGAAGGCTCGCTCGACAAGAAAAGGGGCCCAACAATGTGCGAACTGTCTGGTAAGCTCATAACTGCCCATTAGAATAGTGTCGTAGGAAAAATAGACTGATATGATAGGTCCGTCATTGCATTCGCATGTTCTTGCATTTAACCCCTAATAATGGGGTCACTTACTGAGTATTTCTTAAAACACTCAAGTCACCATGCTACCTTTATTCTAGGTTAAGACAAGACATTCCTGTACGGCTGAGGACGACATCGCAACTCGAGACCATGACACATGCCTAGGGTAGTCATATTTATTTTCTTACGTTTAGAATAGAATGATTTTAATTTAAATGTTTATTTATTTTATTTAGTCTTTTGTTGTGTCGTGTGTTTTCAAAACACGTAAGTTCATGACTGTGTTTTAAGATGAAGGTATGTTTTATGAAAGTTTAAATAAAGTATTTCTGCATTCAATGTTCATGATATGTATACAGTGACGACCTTAAATTAAGTAGAAAATTTAGTTCTTACAAAATCATATGTAGCAATTATAAAGTGAGTCATATCAATAGTATTACATAGATAAGACACCCAATCTTCTCCGTATACTATAAACCTTTTTTTTATCCTCCCGTATGTCAACCATATACTTGTATGAATGCAAAATAAGGTTAAGGAACTCGAGTAATTTAATTTACACAAATAAGGTTTAAGAAAAAAAAAACTAAAAGACCACGGTGGTTGGGTCCAAAAAAGATACTTTCGATATACTCGGCAAAGAATTTAAGGATTCAAGACTTTTGAAAAAGGTTTGGAAATGAAAAAGCGGGCAAAGGTCAAAAAGCCTCTCTTTATTATTATTATTATTATTATTTTAACAAATATTGTTAAATTTAAATTCTTTATTAGGTAAAGAATTTAAAGATGTTCCAAGGAAGAAAATGACCAAAAAGTAAGTATTCTTGGAAAATGTTTGGAATTTTTGGAATAAAATATTCAAAATATAAAAAATGCCCTAAAGTTCCATTTACAAAAATTTTCGACCATTTTAGAGCTAGAAAGTTTGTGAAGATCGTTCGTACCTTTAAATCTAATTATTGGATTGAGCTAAAATTTGAATATGTTCAAGAAGACCCAGAATTCTTTAGATCTAATGATTGAAATACAAAGACCACAAAGCATGTACCATCATACACCATAATGAATATCACATGCATAAATAGCAAAGCATCATATGTCATTACAATATAACGCATAAGAATAACATAAAATAATATGGTGCATGCAGAGGCCACGAGGCATGCACCATCATACACTATTCAATTATCTAACTTCACTGGTAAAGTCATTTACCTAATTAGCTTAAGCTAGTGTGAATAACTTATCTTTAATGGGAGTTCGATCCTATCATTTAAAATCCAAGTCAACATATGTGAACACATGATATCAGTTTCAAGTTCAAACTTTTGTAAAACTATTCCTTTAAAACCATTTATTAGACTTCATGCGAACATTAGAGTTTTGCATGAGTAAAGTCTTGGAATATTTACCTTAGGTATATTATTTTTATTAAACGTCCCATTTTCTATAATTCTTATTCTTTATAATTAAGTTTCAAATTTCACTTTTTCATATTCATCTTAGGTAATTTTTATTCCTTAAAATTAAGTTTTTAAGTCGGGCATAAAACTATTTTTGGTTTTTAAATTATTGGAAAGTCATTCATATATGAATATTTAATTATTTAAAAAACTGATTTAAGTATTAGTCTAAAATGGAAACGTACACACATCTAATAGCTATATTATAATTTTAATGAGATAATATAATAATACATAATCTCACAATTACTTTATTAAACTTAGTTATTAAATAGCAAAAACGTGTGAAATTGTTTTAATATATATATATATATATATATATATATATTTAATGTGATAGATGTATATGATATTAGATATATCAGTTATATATTTATGATATGCTTTATTTAGATGTATCAATTATTTGCACGCTAAACAAATACTATATTTAATGTCACAATATGTACTTCAAATATATCTCATATACATATAATATGAAATCTGACTTAAAATTGGGTCACATACATGCTTTTGCTACTCATTATCATTGCTTATATATATATATATATATATATATATATATATATATATATATATATATATATAT